TTTCCTTACTAAAACTTATGCCTCTTGAAACTGTTGAAACATTTTCAAGGAAGGAAGCATCATTCATGTCAACACTGTACATATTAAAAACCATCTTTACAGCCTGTTAAACATTCTTTTAAAGAAAATCCCCGTAGAATTTTCTAGGATGCCAGTTTCAGCAAGTGGTTTTTAAACTTTTCCATTCTTGTTTATAAATGTACATACAAGGGGAGGAAGCATAGTCCTGTGGCTCAGAGTTTATATACCAGTGAGAGAGCAATTATTTTCAAATGTGTTCTGTAGGTGTAGATTGTATTGTGCTATTTTGCTTTTGTGTGAGAGTAATGAATATGCTTGCTGGAGCAGCCCCAAGAGAATCAAAGGTAACACATTTTTGAGAGAAAATGCCATTAACCCTTAAGTACCTCAATATTTTATTTTTTCACTTAGCTTGTGAATTGGCCCCACTAAAGGGGCACCAATTCACCCTACTCTTGATCTGAATTACATTAGGACTGTTCACTGTAGCAATTTTATGAACGCTATTTGTGTGAATTCTAGGCATTTTAAAGGAGAAGGAGAATTAATCAATTTCTCCTATCTGTTTTACTTCCTACATTTTGTGTCAAAGGTCTCTCCAAACAGGTGATCATGTAATAAATCAGAGTCCATGCAGGGAGCAGAGAACGAGAAAACTTATGCAGAAGACTCGGGTGTCCAAATGAGATTTATTAGAGGGTGTTCTGCACGGCTGGTAGAGGCCACATGCTGGAGATAAGAGAGGTTGCAAATCTCTGGGTTCAGATTGGGGTGGTAGCATGGCAGTTCTACCATACTGAAAGAACAGAGACATGGCAGCTCCTCTAAAAGTGATTTTCTTGCTTTCCCTTTTTGTATAGGAAAAGTTTCATTCCCACAGCGTGTTAGTGGTGCTCCCTCACTTTTCAGGGGCATCAGGATGGTGATTGATAAGAGTAACAAGGAGTTATCTGTTATCTCTGCTTCTAACTCTATACTTTGGGATTTTTGAGATTGCAATTAACTGGTGGGGCAAGGGATGGAGAAAGAGAAGTTGGGGAAAGAACCTGATTCATCCCATGGCTAATTTGGGGCCTGTATGCTTTTTGTGGCCTTGGTCAGACTTCAGAGAAACTCTGTGCAAGTAGTCACAGGCTCCTACAAATAACAAAGGTGCAAAAGTTTACTCCTGGACTGAATTTCCTTTTTCAAAAAGTTATTCTTATTTTGAATTTTAAAAAAATCCATCTACTTCTATCTTTCTCCCATGGGCATTTCTACATACAGAATAGGACAGAAAAAGCAAGTTGTATATGACTTTGCAGATGCCTGTTATACACAGCTTGCTTTTCTTTTTAACCTGGCCTGAATTTATGATTTAACTCTTAACTCTCCTGAACCAGTCTCAAGACACTGCAGGAGTTAATATGGGATCTATGAGCTTAATTTTTAAAAATTAATTCTATTTCAACATAATTGCTTTCCTTTGTAATCCCACATATTTTATTTTACACATTTAAAAACATTACTCTGAGAAGGGGCCCATGACATAAGAAAGCATTGAGCACCCCTGCTTTTTGAATCATTCTAAGATGCTTTAAAACCTGGAACAAGTTAATACTGACTTATGACATTTTTGTTTGTATGTACATAGATCAGTTATGCGAACAGTAGCTAATATTTCAATGGAAATGTTTTTCACCAAGGAATTTAGAGAATGTTCTTAGTTGACAAGATGCCTCTGAGTTCCATTTCAATTGATAAAGTTGTATGTGATGGAAAATAATTGAATTTTTTAAAATTTAGGCCTCTGAACAGTGTTATATAAAGGTGAGTGTTATTTACTCAACTTATATTAGGGTGTCTTGCATCTATGAGATGGACCAGCAGATAAAATTACTCAGAGCTAGAATGGCCTCTTACACAGCATTCAAGCCAGTCTAAAACCATTAGATTGTGAGCTCCTTGAGAGAAAGAATTTTTTCTGTGGTTTTTAAATTTTTTATTTTTATTTTTTGGTAGCCCCAGCACTCAGCACAGTGCCTGGCATGTGGTAGATACTTAATAAATGGTAGTTGATTAGTTGACTGATTTAAATGCACTTCCTAATCTCAACTTCAATGTGTGAACCTAAAGGTGAATTTCCCTAAGTCATATCCAGAAACTAATCACTTTAAATGTCAAACAATACTCATTTGTAACATTATGTGGATACGTATTTGCTACTTACGACTTGTAGATTAACACTGTCAATTCTGTTTGTTTATTTATAATCTCAAGACTATGTCAATCTGTATCACTTCCAAACTTTAGTGCAAATTCCCCAGAGACAACATTTGGCTAAGTCCATACTCTCGAGACTTCTTTGCATCTACTGCATTCTATGGATTCTGTGTCTCAATATTAACAGATGCTTTTTGAACAACTACTGTATGCAAGGTATTGGGAAGAGATGCCTAGAGGGGGTGAGACATAATCCCTGTTTTCAAGAAGCTTAGAAAAGACAAGACATGAAAAGTTAAAAAAAAAATAAAAGAATGAAATACCAACATAAAGAAAAAAGGCGTTTGAGGGATAAGATACATAGGTACATAGAAAATGAGGTCTCTGAGTTCAGAAGGGAATAAGGTCATTGTAGACTGGAATTGTCTGGGATGGATTCATAGAAGAGGTGGTGGGATTTAAAGTCATTGAATGCCAGAGGTAGAAGGGATCTTAAAGGTTGTGTAGTTCAACCCTGTCATTTTATTGAAGAGGAAACTGAACTTCTTAGTGGTAAAGTGACTTACTCAAGATCACACAGTTTAGTAAGTGACTGAGCTGGAACTCTAGACTAGGTTTCCTGATTCCTAGTCCTAGCTTCTTTCTGCTGTGCCATCCTGCCTTCAAGTCTGGTCACTGCTCAAGAAATGCTTTGCTAGTCCTCAGGAAGTTAGCTAGTCCATAAAGGGAGGTTAAACCATATTGTGAAGGTTAATGTCAATTACCTACACGAGACTTTTGTTGTTGTTGAGTTCTTTGTGACCCCATTTGGGGGTTTCTTGGCAAAGATACAGGACTGGTTTGCCATTTCCTTCTCTAACTTATTTTACAGATGAAGAAACTGAGGTAAATAGGGTTAAGTGACTTGCCCAGTGGAACACAGCTAGGCTGTGTCTGAGGCCAGATTTGAACTCAGGGAGATGAGTCTTCCTGACTCCAGGCACTACATGAGACTTTACATCCAATTAATGGCAAATTAATGGTAAAACAAACAAACAAACAAACAAAAAAAACCCTGAACTTGCTTGTATCACAGCCATAGGGCCAATATAAGTTTCCGATGTCGTTGATATGCAGACACTTTTCTTTACAACTATTTGATTAGAGCATCTTCACATGTTATCCTGTCATATCAAGCCTTTCAAAGGATATAATATTACTTACAGGATCCTAGGATTTAAAGCTGGGAAGGACTTTAGATACCATCTGTTTTAACTCTCTCATTTTACTGAAGAGGAAACTGAAGTCCAGAAAAATGATGTGGCTTGTCCTTTCACTTTTAATAGCAGCATCAATAGAATTTATTCAAACTAGGTGTTTTTGATGGGCAAATTCAGTTGCAAGGGGGAACACAGAGAACAGTTTGACCATCTGTTTAGCCATGACATGAAAGGGAATTACCAGTCTCCCATAGAAGCCAGACCATGCCAAAACAGGGGTTGAAGGAGAAGTGATTCTCTAGGTGACAACTGAGAGGGTGATAGGCTCGGACAAGGTGTGGGTCATACTGTGGAGTAGTGGGGGCTGGAAAAGGACCATAAGGCAAGGCATAGGGACAATGATCACCATGGTGATGAAATTCCCTAGCCCCCAGGATTGTTGGCATCTTGGGGCAGAGTTCCAGTTTCCCTGTGTTAGTTACAGATCTGTAATTCACAATGACTTTTTTTTCCCTCCGCACTTGTTTATTAAATATTGCACAGGAAGCCCTCAAGAACTTCATGTTCATTAGGTCCATCAGTTGGACTAAATGCTTCAATATTTTACAATACGTATTATGAGGTGGGAAATGACAAAAAGTGTGGTACAATTAGAGATCATTCCCAGGAGTAATATGAACATGTACTGCATTTGATCTATAATAAATGCACAGAGAATTTTTGAATTAATCTCATTCTATAAGAAAGGGTGTAATTGTAGAGACAATGCAGTCTTTGAGGCTTTCACACAACCTCCCCTTCCCCTCCTCCCCCAGGAAAATATCAGGAACAATTGACTTATCCAGAGACGATGGTCTCAAGACGCAAAAACAGATATATTTTTGTATGTGGTCACTTTGAGGATTCATTTTGCTTAATTGTGCATTCTCTCTCTCTCTCTCTCTCTCTCTCTCTCTCTTTCTTTCTCTCTCTCCATCCCTCTATCTGTCTCTCTGTCTCTGTCTTCATCCCTCTCTCTCTTTTGGCATCAATATTGATAACTCCCCAGACACCCCCCTCCAACTGAAAGAGACAAGACAGAGAGAGACAGAGAGACTGGGAGACAGAGAGACAGAGACAGAGAAAACCATTGAAGTTTTTCTTTAATTTAAAAGGGAATACAAGGAAGTTCTAAAGAAAGTACATACAAGCAAGACAGTTTTCAGAGAAATGTGTGAGTCTTATATATTTAAAAATTTGACATGAAATGGAGATTCACAATTGCCAATGCAATTCTCTTTTTGTGTTATTCTGTGTAAATAAAAATGAACATTTTTTTATGTTCAAATTTTTTTTTAAAGAACAATGAATTTAGAGTCTGAAAGTATGGGGCTGGAGTCCAGGCTCTGACAATTACTGGGTGATCTGGGATGAGTCCCTTCACTTCTGGACACCCGGTTTCCACATCCGCAAAATGAGAGAGTTTTACTGGGTGATCTATAATAGTCTGTGATGCTTCTGGGTAGTGTAGCAGTGACCAGAGGAAGAATCTTGGCTCTCTCTTAACTCCAGTGACTTTTTTTCTCCATTTTTGTTTAGAGCCTCCCTTCTACTACAGAAGAAGGTACAGAGAAGAAGGTACCTCCAGGAGCAAAGAAACTGCCAGGACCTGCAGTTAACCTAACAGAGATCCAGAATGTAAAAAGTGAACTGAAATATGTCCCCAAAGCTGAGCAGTAGTCAAAAAGAAAGGTGAGCATTTTCTTAATTTCCAAAAACTTTGGTAAAATGTGGTTGTTTTTTTTTTTAAAAGCCAAGCTGGTGGTGCTTGGAATTCCAGACTTTTTTGGGGGGATGGATGGGGTGGGTGGGAAAGGACAGGCACTTCTGTCAGCTATTGATTGGTATGATGGAGCCCAGCCACTTTTCCTTCAACTGTTTATATATAGTGCAAAGGTATTCATGTGTGAGACAGAAACATTGACTTAGGTATTGGCTACATTTTCTTTTCTTCTTAAAAATATGTTTTATTGATGCTTTTTGTCTTTACACAGTCATTTCCAAACCCATCCCTTCAGACTGAACCCCTTCTTATGACAAAGAAAAATGATCAAAAGCATCCTTTACAGAAACTTTATCTGACAATATGTGCAATATTCTATCTTAGTATTTTATTTTATTTTATTTTATTTTTAATAGTATTTTATTTTTTTCCAATTACATGCAAAGAAAATTTTTTAACATTCATTTTTAAGTGACTTCCTTTTTTAATCTTTCTTTTTTAAAAAGATTTTATTTTTAATTTATGGAATAAAACAAGCATCCTAGTTAGTCCTACTATCAAGGATGTCCATGATCACTATTACTGTTTAATATTGTGCTAGAAATTCTAGCTATAGGAATAAGACAAGAAAAAGGAATTGAGAGAATGCCACCTCTCTGCTATGACAGAAGAGGTATGTTTCATTTCTTTTCATAGTGACCTTTACTGGTTTTTCCATTACTCAGGATTCAACTTCCTATTACTAATCTTTTCACTTATGTTGTTGAGGTCATTTTTCTCTTGGACCTGCCTTCCCTTGTAACACAGATTAAAAAGGAAAGAAAAAAAAGGCAGTCTAGCAAAGTCATCTAACACATTGACCAGGTCTGACAGTATATGCAATATTCTGTACCTATAGTTCTCAACTCTACAATGAATGGAGGGAAGCATATTTTCTCAGCTCTTCTTCACTGGGAAGACAGTGTCCACTTTCATTCATTATAATTACATACCATTCAGTTTTGTTTTAAAGTTCTTTCCATTTACATTGCTTTGGTCATTGTGTATGTTGTTTTCTTGGTTCTGTTTATTTTTCTTTATTATTTCACACAAATCTTCTTATGTTTCTCTGAATTCTTAACATTTGTAATTTCATACCACACAATAATATTCCATAACACAATATTTTTCAGTCATTCCTCACTCAATGTGGGCCTATTTTATTTCTCAATTTTTATTCCCACAAAGATTTCAACTATGAATATAGCTCGCTGTAATCACTTTTCTTACATAATTTCAAAATGAAATAATGGGGTTGGACTGCTTCAAAGCTCCACCAATTGTCATCAGTGTGCCTATGTTCCCAAAGACTCTCCAACATTAACTATTCCCATTTATTTTTCAACTTTGCTAGTTGGTATGGTGTGAGGTGAAATGTTGGAGTTGTTCTAATTTGCATTTCTGGATCAGTGATTAGGAGTGTGTTCTCATGTGTTCATTTATAGTTTGAATTTCTCTTTTTGACTGGCTACCTTTTTCATATTCCTGACATACTGATGAGCTTTGGAAGCCTCCATTCTTATGATTCTACATCTAGTTTTGGGAAGAGTAGAGAGAGAGAGGGAGGGAGGGAGGAAGGGAGGGAGGGAGGGAGGGAGGGAGGGAGAGAGAGAGAGAGAGAGAGAGAGAGAGAGAGAGAGAGAGAGAGAGAGAGGAGAGACAGAGAGAGAGACAGAGAGAGACAGAGACAGAGACACAGAGAGAGAATGCATGAGGAGGAGACTTAAAAAGATTTCCTCCCCCCCCCCCGACTTTTTTTCTTATACTGGGAAGACAAGGAATAACAACCTCATGTTTCCATTTTTCTACCTGAAAGCTGAGGATCAGAATTGTAACTAGAATACAGGTGATAACAATCCTCTGATTACTTTAGCAACTTAGATACATCTGAACTTAGCAACTATTTAGCAAAAATAGTCAAAATAGGAAGCTACGATATAGAGTATGCTTCCTATCCCTAGAGATCCCCACCTCCAGTGAGCTCTTCCCTGGCCCTGCTCCACTCTGCTCCCAGAATCCCCCCAGCAGCAATGTCTCCAACAGTGATCTCATGGTGGCCTGAGGTCTCTGCCTCTCTGTTGGAGGGCAGCGTCCCAGAGGACTCTCCCGCAGTAGAGTAATATGTCAGGGAAATAGAATGACAGATATTTACACACAGACCAATCCTCCAAAACAGTCCCTTGGCTGGCTTAGTCAGAGTCATAGGAACCTAGAATCAGAGCCCAGTCCCAGTTTATAGAGTCAGGATCGCCTCAGAGAACTTAGAATATGAACAGATGAAACACCGAGATCACAGACTGTGATTCTCTTTTCATTTTGGTTTAAATCCGCGCAACAGTAATCTCCTGCCTGGGGCTCCATCCAGTACTCCATCTGTGGATCAACCTCCCATGGACTTGAATGGGAATTCAGCCAGCAGGAGGAGCATGAGGCTCAAATCATTCTTTTCCTTTGGACATGTGGATTAAATTCTCTCTTTGTCTAAAATTTGCAACAAAACCATTTCTGACCCCGATGGCACTATTCCCTCTGCTCCCCAGTAGACCGAACAAATGAGAATCAGTCAGGTCACAATAAGAGAGGGCTACACCGGGTTAATAACAGAGGAATTTGTTCATTGAGTTAGAAAAAATCCCTCTCCTTCTGCTCCTAGAAATGGCATACATTGGCTTAACCTTCCTCGCTGATATTAATGAAGAATTTGCTAATTGTATAGAGGAATAAGATATAGAATGCCAAGGGTCCTGAAGTGAATTCATCATCTATTGGGAACAGAATTGGAACAAACATTCTGTTCTGACAGCATAGCTCAACCTGGCTTCAAGGAAGCCAAGTTATTTGGGTCACACCTAAACTGACTTAACTGGTGCATTTGAAAACATCCTCCTGAAACTCACTCTTTTTAGCCTAGAGAAAGAGAAAAACTGTTTTATGTAAAATAAAAGAGCAGGTTCTGATTTTTAGCATACTTAAAGAAACAAAAGAGTAAAAACAAAATGTAGGGGACCAGTAACTGCTGAAAGGATTTCAGGGATTTTGATGTAAATTATGTATATTCAGAGGGACTTGGCTGGAAACATGTTGCAATATAATTTACTTTTATGGCATAACTGAGCAAACTGATATTTTATTATTCTTATTCAATCCTTCTTTTATGCATCATGCCAACCGAGGTAAAAGCTTCCAATGTGGTTGCTAAGAAATTTCAGCACTTCCTTGTAGGAAAGCTCAGAGAAAGGAAATCAACTTTTTATGGTCTTTATTAATATGATTAGCAAAGAAGGTAACTTAGACACATGAATTTCTTTGGAAAAAACCCAAACCCTCAGAACTCTAACAAACACCCAATAAAATGACCATTTCCACAAATATGATAGGATAGAATGAGAGGATTGTAGGTAAAACTGAGAATTGGGGGTGGGGTGTAGAGTTTGCTTTTTTCCCTAAGCATATAGTAAATTTACCATGTAACTTTCAAAATTGTCCCATTTGTCTGTGATTCCTTCTGGACTTTTTTCGGTTTTCTTTTCATTTGAGGGGAGGGGAGGGAACCCTATGCTTAACCCCTACTCCTTTTTTCTCCTCAGTTATAAAACAAAAACAGAAAAAGAAAGCCCCAAACCAAAACAGTTGTACGTAATCAAGTAAAACAAATTTCCTCATTGGTTGGGCATATGAATTTCTAATGCTATCTTTAGGGAGTTTGCTTTTATTAAGTCTACATTGCTCTAGATTTAACCTCATCTCTGGTTCCAGAAGGAGTTTAGTTGTAAGGTCCTAAAGAATGTATAGAATTAGCTTAAGGAAGAATCTAGTATGGTGATTAGTTGGCATGGTCAAGAAAGTTGATTCATTACTGTAGGATAAATGGTTAAAGGGAGAACTTCTGGCTCAGTAAAATATTCATAAAGGTATCAGGTTCCAAAACTAAAACCACATTTTTATTACTCTGAAAAAGTGCCCTAAAGTCAAGATTTAGATCATGGTTTTTTTCTTTAAAATTCTAATTGTGTAAAGCAATTGAAAGTCCTGCTAGAAAATCTATATTAATTATGCTAAGTCAGGGATAAAACTAGAATGTATTGAGCCAATATATGAGGAAGACTAAAGAAGTGATATTACTGCTGCCTGGGACTGGTGGGACTATAATAACTGATGACAGATAAGGTAGTGCTGCTCATTCCTTATTTTGTTTGTTTTCTCTACCAAGGAGAATAATATTAATGGGTATCATATTTCTTGCCTTCTCAATGGGAGAGAGAGGGGTTAGAGAAAGGGAGAGAATTTGGAACTGAAAATAAAGAATTTAAAAAACAATGATTTTTACATTGGAAGGGATAAAACAAACATTACTAATGATAGTAAAGATAGGTAAGGAGAGAGTAAGATAGCACCTAGCAAGACTTGATGAGTTTAAGTCATTGGTATAGATGAAATTCAGACTCAGGTGTTGAAAGGACTAGCAGGTGGGTGTGCTTAAGTGACTGTCAGTAATCTTTGAAGGATCATGGAGAATGGAGGAGGTTCCAGAGGAATGGAAAAGAAGTAGTTATGTCCTAATTACTTTTTAAAAGGAAAAATCTACAAACTATAGGCCAATTAGCATGACTAAAATTTTTAGGCAAAATTCTTGAGCATATTATTATTATTATTATTATTATTATTATATATGAGTAATGAACCTCAAGAAAAGGAAGAATTGATCACAAAGAGCCATGTATTACATCAGTTTAATTTTATTTCCTTTCTTTGACAGAGTTACTAAGCCAGTAGATGAGAGGAATTTTATAGATATAGTTTACCTAGATTTTTGCAAAGCATTCAATAGAGTTTTTCACGTTATTTTTGTTTAGAAACAAAATGGAGAGGTATGAGCTAGATAACAGTTTAATTAGGTAGATTTGGAAGTAGTTGAATGGCCACATCTAAA